CCAGTGACCATGGGGAAGCCTTTCCCTCCTGTGAAAAGGGGCTGCTGCTCCTTCTGCCCCCGGGGCTGCTGGGAGAGTTAGCCAGTCAGTGTCCCTGCTGCGGAAGGGCTGAGTGTTAGCGCTAGAATGTGCGCTGAGAACGGACCCTGCTGTGTTTGAGGTGAAACCAGCGAGGCCGGGGGCCCGTCTCAGCGTGCTTGTTCATCTGTTTAAGGCAGTGGCAGTGGGCGGGGTCGGAGTACCTACCCAATTGGGCAAGAGCATTTGGTTTTCTTCCTCTTCCCCGTTTGGGATCCTCCCTGATGCCCTGTGACTGGGGCTGTGGGTTTGGGGGTGATGTGACCTGGAGAAGTCGGATCTCCCGTCTGCCATCAGCTCTTTCCTGGAAGGAGCCGAAACCCCCAAGTTGTAGCCTGCGGGATTCTTCTGTCAAGAACGTCTACGGTGCTCGTTTTAGCCCCATGGCCCGCCCCCAGCAAGCCAGAGTCAACTGACCCAGGTTCAGAGACTCCCCTCCCCCCCCGGGCTTTTCTTTGTAGTGTAGATGTTACCCCATGACGCCTAAAGGGCTGATGGCCGAATGTAGAACTAGCCCTGGGAAGAAGGCGAAGCAAACGGCAGTTCCTGTCCTCGCCCAGACTAGGAAGAACGACTTTGTTCGTCTCTCTCGTAAATACTTGATTTCTCCCAAGGCCCGTCAGTTTGGGAGCAGGGCTGTGGTGAGAGAGAGAACCCGTCAGGGACTAGAACCATCCCCTTGGCAGGGCAGATGGCGCGTCCGCTAGTCAGCTACCCGAGATGAACCTTCTATTAAAGGGCGAGTGAACTCTACCCCTTTGGCGTTGTTTTAAAACAGCTTATTGTTCAAGTATCAGCCCCAATTCCGCACACATCCCATCACAAAGTGGGGGCTGCCGTTCAGTGACAAACCACCAAGCACGCTGGGGCATCGCGAAGTTGTGATCTGTCTCCGGCGTGGGCCCGTGTGAGGCCGACCCTGCTCCCTCACCATACACCACTGCACTCTGGGGTAACGTGTCTGAGCAACACCAATGCACTTAGTTGACTAGAAACTGCTCGGAGTTTGAGACCGCCCAGTCCCGAGAAGGGCTCGGTGGAAGGTGAATTCTCGAGCACGGCGCGGCTCCGTCTACCCGCTTGTGTCACGTGCGACGTGGATACTTGTGAAAGGGGCACGGCGAGGGTGCGGCAACGGCCTCCGATAGACTCCTCGGAAGAAGAGACAGACGCATCTTTAACCAAGGGCTAGGCCGCCACAGCTGTGACCTTTATAACTGGGGGCAGTGGTTGTAAATAGCAATGTTGGTACCAAGACACTCGTCTGCCATGGGCCAGATCTAGGTCCCGGGTTAGAAAATCAGGGCGCCCTGGATTTAAAGGCGTGTTTGACCCCTGAGCCTTGCTGGGTGTGTTAGATTGTTGTCTCTGCCTTGGGGAACTTTCTATGGGGAAATTCGCTTGTGGCCCGTCTACCCCCCTAGCGTCCAAGCCCCCTCCTTGATCCTCCCTGCCCCCTTCGGTCACTCTGGCCTGAGATGGTTCTCTCATAACAGAGGGGCCGGGTTCAAATCCTAACACCAGACAGCCCTAGCCATGAGGTGTCTTTAAAAGAACTCGGTGATGTCCAGGGGCCTCCGCTCAGGACGGGCAAATCTTCGAGTGGACGCCATGCTGGTAGCAAAAGGCACTTTCAGCTTGCTGGGGTAGCGAGAGAGGCGGATACGGTTTAAAATTCTCGCGCGGGGGGCGCTGTTGGAAGCGATTGTGTTGACAGCAGAGGAAAGTGGCTGGACAGAGCCCGTGGTACCCGTCTGCCCCTCGGGTGACTTGCCAAGTCCCGCTGCTGTGGGCTCAATTCCAGCTCTCCGGCTCCCTTGGCCAGGGACAGAAATCCTGCGAGGGGAAGCTCCTAGCGAGGATAGGCGACGCCGCTGCCCGAGGCCCCTGTCCCCCCATGAGAAGGGTAGAAAGCTGCGCTTCTCAGCCCCTGCCCGCTGCCGACCCCCTTGCCGGGAGCCAACGAACCAAACTTGTTTGTGGGGACCTGCTGGAAGCACCCAGCTGGGCTGGAGGGAGGGGGGATTATCAGGTGACAACAGGAACCAACACACCATCCAAGGGAGGGGTAGCTTAGTGGATAGCTCATTGGCCTGCTAATCTCAGGGTTGTGAGTTCAATTCTCGAGGAGGCTATTTGGGGCAAAAAGCTGTCAGGGATGGTACTTGGTCCTGCTGTGAAGGCAGGGGACTGGACTCAACGACCTTGCAAGGTGCCTCCCAGCTCTAGGAGAGAGGCAGGCTCCATTCATATCGTATTCATACATCCTAGGAAGACAGGTACCTGTTAATGTTCCTGCAGGGGGGCTGCTGGAGCTGGGCTTGGGGTGTGCAGGGCTGGTTGTTTGTCCTTCCTCCTTGGGTTCCCGTGGAGCTGATGGAAGGGGTGCATTTTGCAGGTGGTTCAGGGCTGCTAAAAACACTAAGCTCAGCCCCTCTGACTCTGCTGTGCTCCACAATGATCCGGGCGTGTGTGTTGGGAATATTTATTGGCTGGCCAAGAGGGCCCCGTGCGGTTATCAGGTGGAGGGTGGTGCTTTGGGTGGGAA